ACCCTAAACCCTAAATTCTTTAGCCCCAAACCCTAAACCCTGAACCCTAAACCCTAAATTCTTCGGGCCCTAAACCCGAAACCCTAGAGCTGCTTGCGAAGGTCCCCTCCAGCCCGAGTGCAGGACTTTCTACCCTAAGGCTCCATGTGCCCATCTAGTGTAGACTTAGGCCTTAAAGGGATTCGAATATTAATAAAGATACGTTACATAAAATCGTAAGTATATATACTCTCTCTATATATATATATATATAGCCTCTATTTCAAGAGTGATTTTCGCTATAAAACACGAGAAAACACTTTGAATATGGGGCCCCCAGGGCGTTCCACCCTCTAAAGATAAGGCCCCACAAGAAGAGTTTGTGGATGTGAAAGACTATTGTTCGATGCAAGGCAAGGGTAAAAACTCGGTAATGTGGTCATATTCAGGATGTGTTTCGGGGGTGCCATGTTGCCGGGTTTGTGCCTTTGTGTCCTAATAATGGCTTTGGGCATTTCCCTGCGCACCAGGCAGTCTGTCGCATTGGCACAGTCGGGCGAATTCTCACGGGCACAGTCGGGCGAATTCTCACGCGACTCCCAGTCACAAGAGGAGGCGGAACTTGCAAGTTCACAGCATGTTGTTCAGTCGCAGCAGCCAATACTCTCATTCGTGTTCTTGCTATGGAGTCTTCCTGTTGCTAGTCTCGCTACGGTCATGTTACAATATGCTAGTGTTACAGCCGTCATCGCTGTTCCTGCTGCAGCTCTTAGCGCTGAGACTAGCCAAGCAAGCCGCCTACCCAGCATTGTCTGTAGCTGATCGTGGCATAGGCATAAGCACCATGTGCCCTAAATCCTGAACCCTAAAACCCAACACCCTGGACTGCAACCCCCCAGACCCGAACAAATCTGTACATGTTCAGAAATCAGAGAACCTGCATATATAGCAACCTGAAGGAGTTCTGTTGAGGTACCTTGGTTCTTGGCAGGAATGGATATGGTGCTCAACCTGGAACTCCAAATCCGAAAGCCTGAGTCGCATTAACCCTGTGAAGCATAGCGGCACAGCAACCTACTAAAGCAAGTCGGAGGCAGGCTAGAGTAGCGGCTAGACCTAAACCCTAAACCCTACACCCTAAACCCTAACCGGCCCTAAACCCTAAACCCTAAACCCTAACCGGCCCTCAACCCTAAACCCTAAACCTCAGCCCTATACCGCGAAGCAGGCATCCTTTAGGCCCTGAACCCCTAGGCCCTCGACTCTCCCACATCTTCCAACCTTCGCCCCCAAAAAACCTGTCAAATCCGAAACCCCAGAGTCCCGAATTGACCCCCAAAGCCAAGTCATGTCTTGGGTATTGGATGCTAGATTATGTAGGGGCCGTTAAAGTAAAGGGCCTTTAGAGGGATATATTGGGCTTTCATATAACCCGAGAGCCAGCGGGCCGGGGTCTTGATTTCTTGGGTAGTTGGGTGGTTGTCAAAATTAGGGTCCCTTTTTGGGTACCCTAAATATTAGGTGCCGTATTATATGAAGGACCCAAAAAGGGACCCTAGTTTAGAGAACTACTCAGTTGATGACGAGGCTGGCAGCCCCGAGCCAAAGAAGGATGAGGGTATCCGGGGAGAGGCCCTGGATTCGGTGATGCCCGGAGCTGTCCACCGGGGTGACTAGGGAGATTGGGGTTTAGGGTTTAGGGGTTTAGGGTTTAGGGTACCCGTGGATCCTACAGGAGGTTGCGTTGTAGTTAGGGCGTGGGACCCTGAGACTTTTCTGGGGCCTAGAAGCCACGGGTCAGATTCATCGGGATCGACGGTTTAGAGCTTCAGGTGGCTAGAAACTTGGAGTCTAAATCTGGGTAACCCTAGCCCTAGCCATTCTTATTATAGGGCCCTAGAACAAGCAAAAAATGCTTCAGGGATTCACCCTGGAGGGCAGTGGGTTTTGGAACTCCAGGTGTGCCTAGAGGACTCAGAATGTTTAGAAATACGGCTGATGATGGGAAACCTGCATTACCCAGAATAAGGAATATACCATAATTCCCATCGTTTTAAGGTCCTTAAGGTCATGCAGGATTTATATCATCGACAGTAGTATGCGACTCATAGTCCTTGTATAGGTACACCATTCTGTACCCCAAGGCGCCCAAGCTAGACCGTTGTTTTAGCCCATGTATAGTACCATTAAACGGCCCTTTTAAGCCTTTTAAAGGGTCTCTGTTCTAAACATCAAGGTCTCTGTACTAGGTTTCTCGAGGCAAGGTGTGAACTAGAAAGCTTCAGGAACGTTTCTACCTGGTGCATCGCTGGTTCTCTCGTGGGATGGGCAAGGATCTATTCACGTATCCTTGAATTGCGCCCTGACTGGGCATAGTAGCAGGCGGTCAGGGAGTCACTAGGGTGCAGGGTTTTCGGGCTCTGGGTTTCTATGCATCAAAGCAAGACAGGCATGAATGCTGCCTTGTACATGTATGGAGGGATGGGTAATTACGCACAAAGCTTGCGGAATTCATGAGGTTTCTAGGGGCGTCACATGTACACCCCTGGCTGCTGCAGCATTGAACTGTGGCTCTGAGTGAAAGAGTTCAGGCCCTATGACCGCCAGCGCTTGAGGTTCGGAGTTTGCGAATTAAGTTTCTGGGTTGGGGGTTTAGGGTCTAGGGTTTTGTGCTGTGGGGTTTAGGGTTTCTCAGTATGCACAGATACCCCACTCGGCATTTGATCCTTGAAGCCTAAACCCTAAACCGTTATATTTCGTCCAAGGGAAGTGGTTCTTTGCTGTTGTGATCGGTGACTTGCACATCCCAAGCTTGAAGGATGATTTGTTTAGAGGTCCCCCAATAGCTGCAATGTTAAGAGAAGGATCCCCTTCTGTAAGGACTTCCGAATGAAGGACCACATGGGTGGTTCCGAAACTTCGGGTCCAGTTTTAGGCCCCCCCAAAATACTCTATGGCACCCTTACAAAGAGGACCCTAATGTGTTCCCTCATTTAGGGACCTACCCAGATAAAAGAGTGGTCGTTGTCTCAGTTTCAAGCTGAAACGGAGAACCCTGGTCGCTCCGATCCTACACCCTAAACCCTAAACCCTAAACCCTTTAACCCTAAACCTTAAACCCCTCAGCCTCTCCGATCGAAAGCAAGGCTTGCTGGGTACTACCGCTACTATTCTTCAGGGCGCAGGGACTTCTGAGTATCGCTTGAGTATTTTCATCCCGCAAAGCCCTGGTCTGCGGATACCGATTCAGGCTTATATATATATAGAGAGAGAGGGACATATGTATGTATGTATGTATGCATGCATGTATGTATGTATGTATGTATGTATGTATGTATGTATGCACACATGCATGTATATATATATATATACATGCATGTATAAACANNACACACACACATATCCACACAGCTATATCTATTTACTTGTTCATGTGTTTTTGGATTTATGTGTTGGTTTATTTATTGTTTGTTTATGTGTGTATTTATTGATTTATTGACCTCGTTGCTTGCTGAAATCCCTGGTACTCCTTGTGGCTACGTGGGAGTTTAATTGAAACTAGCGTCCCCTTTGGGGGGTGTTTTTGTGGGACAGATCCGCATCTTGGGCTCCATGCCCCAAGCCCTAAATCCCACCGTATAGGCTATGTAAGGAACCCTAAACCCTAAACCNNNNGCCCCCCCCCCCCCCGCCCCCGAGCCCCGAACCCTAAGCTCCTCCTGTCTCTGGAAGCCGTTAGTTCTCGCGAGCTTTCGAGCCGAAAGAGCTTCAAAGTAGGAGCCAGAAAGTTGGAGCATCATTCTCCTGGTACTCTGAAGGTAGCATATAAGGGGATCCTAGCGCTAATCATCCTAAATCCATGCTCCAACTTTCTGGCGTTCGCTGTAGGGTTCAGGGCCTCTTGTATTCGCCAGGACATCCAATCCTTTCAGCAGCTCTCAATACGATGATAGAGTCTGGCGCCCCCAGGCACACCACAAACCCTAAACTGAGAATCTTTATTCTGAACCCAGACCCTTAACACTCAACCTCGGCCCTAAACCGTAAAGTCTAAATCCTCAGCCTTGAAACCTCAGGCAAGCTACTGTGCAGCCAGGGAATCCTCTTGTCCCGAAAGCACTACCCTGCCTACCAAGACGGAGTTCAAACATCAAAAAGCATTGATGCTGCTTCTTGTGCGTA